GACATCCAAGACGGTAATTTACAGAGCACAGAGGAGTGTTCGACTCATAGTTCTAGAGGCTGGGGAGTGAGCTCTCCAGCGGTGTTGACGTCTATTTAGGAACCTCCCAGGACAACGGGACAGAGCACAAAGTAATCGTGCAAGCTTAGGTCACCCTTTCTCCTACAAAGCCACGCCTGGGAATCCCACCTTCAGAACCTCATCTCATCCCTTAAGCTCTGTATCGAAACACCCTTAGCATGTGTCAAGGTATCAGGAACACATGAGCTTTTGGTGGGGGACACAATTAAACCACAGCCTGTTCAGGCTTTAGCCCATACGGGAACTGGTGGCAATCTGGGCCGGGGGGCGGGGTGAGTTCTCAACAGAGGGGTCATGACATCACTGGACATTACTGCACCCCACAGCTCTGAAGCCAGGACTGAGACATCCCCACTGCCCGCTGTCCGTCCATCATCCTGGTTCACTTTGCACACATGGACCCTTCATGGCCTGGCTGGCTCAGAAGAGCCGGGAGACTGACCTGTGGACAGTGCTGCTCTGACCAGGGGCAGATCTTCTGAATCTGTCCCCAGTAGGCAGCCTCCTGAGCGCTGAGGCCCAGACATGGCATATATGGCATTGACGTCCAAAGAGCTACCATCACCAAGCACAGGGCCTCCTCCCTAGCTGGAAGAGAAGGAAGATTCAGCCTGTGCAGTTTTATTTAGGAGGGGTCATTCTTAGATTTCCAGACAAGTAGATAGATTTCCCAGAAGGCCGTGGGGCAGCAAGTCCCTGGACCAGCATACAGGTGTCCTCACAGGGCATCTAGAACAGGGCCGCTCACTGTGGCTGTGCCACAGATACATAGAAAGAAACAGAATGTTCAGGGCACGCTGGAAGGACAGTCAGAGGTGACAAAGATGAACTTGAACAGTGTCTGGCCTGGGAGCCATACATCGGCATACTATAATCCACGTATGGGAAGCTTACTTGCTCTGACTGGCCCACTGGCTTCTGCTGACTTAATGGCGGCCATCAAAGGGAAGAGCTGGTTGTCCCTTGGATGAGGCCATCTCTGCGGCAACCTCCGGGCATGAGAGTGTCTTGCTTGCCCAGTCCCGCAAGAGCTCCGGCCTTCTCTTGCCTGATTTAGATCAAGAGTCCCACTTGCTGGCTTAGAGCTGCCGGTGAGGAGCTGAGCTCTGGTAAGATCACACGGAAGCAGCTAAAGCCCCTGAAAGCCTTACTGGTGAGAGTCCCTTGCCACATGTGTCTGTAGAGGCAGGAGATGCACCCTCAAAGCGTCAGCTTCGCCTTTTGCCTTTTCAATTTGGCAAAGATTGGGAGATCAAGGTACTGGTTTGGCCTTTTAAACAAATGCTTAATCCTGCTCCTACCCCACCTCCCCCCCACCACAGGGGAGCAAGCCATTCTGTGGACCCAGGCCTAGGATTGGCTTTGGCTGTGACCCTCTGTCACAGCAGCTGCACTCAGGGCTGCTGAACTGGTTTGGATTTCTCTGCTGTTGGTTGAGCAGTGGGTGGCCATCTCTTTCAGGGCTGGATCAATGGTCCACAGCCTGAGGGCCCTGGGCTAGACCCTGCTGAGAACGGCCCTGACTGGGCATCCAAGCACAGCGCCCACATGTTGGTTGGTAGACATGCTGGCATAATTCCTCCCTCCCCTTTATCCTTGCCCTTGGGTAACACCTTCCTGTGCTGCCTCTTGCATTGGCTGTGTGGCTCGCTTTGGCCAAAGGGACAATAGTAAAAGTGAAACCGAAAGAGATTTGCCAAGTGTTTGGGCCCTGTTTCCCCTGCTGTGAGTGGGAGTCGTACAGTCAACAGCCAGAAACCCTGCTTCACAGGAGTCTGGGAGAGAAGCTGTCAGAGATAACCAACTGTCAGCTGGCTACAGACATGGAGAGAGCCCGTCAGGGCCACCCAATCCAGCCCAGCCTTGTCCAACCTATTCAAAACCATACCGGAAAGGGGAGGCTGTTGGGTTGAGCCTCTATGGCCCATCAACTCCCAGAAATGAATGGCTCCTATGGCAAATGTGTAGAGCCTGGGGGTAGAGCCTGGAGCGGAGGAGAATGCCATTCCCAATAGGACAGACATCTCAGATGGCTGCTGGGACTTCCCAGGCAGGGCAGGTTATTTTCGTGTGTGAGGCTCTCCAGGGGCCACCAAGAGCAAGCTCACTGCCATGTTGGAGTACACCCCCTGCTAGTGTTTGTTTAGAATCTCCCATTGAGTCAAGGCTGTGGACCTAACCAACCTTGGCTGCAAGTGATCATGGGATTTGTGTCCCCACATCTCTGGGAATCTCCCAGGGCTCCTTTCTCTCGGGACTACTGGATCCTCATACTTGTAAATCCACCAAAGCAAGAGACCAACCCCAGATGCCTCTCGCTAAAGCTACACAGCCCGTGAGTGAGACTGATCACCCATTTCTTTAAGAATCCGACTCAGTCCCAGAAAGTCCATGCATGGCCCAAGGGGCAGGCTACAGGTGGCTCCTGGTGGCGAGCGGTACCCACTACAGAGTTAGCCTGGGACACAAGCTGCCAGGGTAGGAAGCGGTAATACCTATTCTGCTTTGTGTCATGACTTCAGTGGATGCCATTGCTGGGCTTTCCTTGGCCCTGGCTTCTGGCAGTATCTACTGTGGGAGGGCCTGTGGCCAGGGAGGTGTGTGTCATGGATGTTGGGGGGTATATTCCTCTCGCTGGGCCCTGTCATGGGTTGGGGGTATACTCCTTTCGCTGGGCCCTGCCATGGGTGTTGGGGTATACTCCTCTCGCTGGGCCCTGTCATGGGTGTTGGGGTATACTCCTCTCACTAGGCCCTGTCATGGGTATTGGGGTATATTCCTCTCCTTGTACCCTACCAGTCATTACTCGTGGCCACGCCCCTCTCTCACCCTTTCCCTAGTGACTGTCTCTTTCTGGGTTCAGTATGCATTGATCGCTTCCTGTCTGGCCTCCAGAGCTCCTCCCCCCATGACTGAACTGGGTACAGAGTAATCTTTTCTAGTCCCCCCACCCCCGCAATCTGGTGCTGTGTTTCCTTCATGGAACCATGGAGCACACTCTGGTTTCCACATTTGAGTGTGCTAACTGCACTACACAACACTGACTTCTGGGCTGTGATGCAGGGCTCAGAGGGCTCAGAAGCCACCCAGAACATGGAATCTGAATTTGGGACTGAGGTGCTGTCCTGGGCATGCGGGTCTTGGGCATGGCTGCTCTCCCATTTCTTCATGAGCTCTGGTCCTGCACTGGTGTGTCGGAATGGCAGTGGGAAGCCGGGAGTCTCGGGTTCCCCTGAGGAGTGGAGGTGACCATGGAGTGATACCTACTTTGCAGAGTAAGTTCCATGCAAGGACAGCCCTCCCACCAGCTGGGCACCAGCAATGACAGTGCCCATGCTGCCACACTGCCACTCTGAGTGGGTCCCTTTTAGTGTGTTTGCACACTTTACCTCTGCCTCCCACCTGTTCCGACCACTTCTGTGACGATGCATCACAGAGCAAGGGTGGCTAGCTTCCTGCCTGCTCAGCTTGTCACCTGTCGTGATGGAACTCTCTAACTCAGGCCAGATCCTGAAGATTCAAGCTCTGAGACCAGCTGGGCTCAGGAGTGTTCCCGACTGAGCCACTGTGCTGTGTGTCCCTGCTACAAGCCAGATTGTCCCTGCTACAAGACACTTACAGATTACTGTAAGTGTCACTGTACAGTAATTGCTCAGCCATCTTTTCACGAGCGGCTTATCAGAGCCAGGAGCTTTGGTAAAGGTTTTGAAACCAAGATTCAAGGAATTTTGGTGTTATTGCTCTGTGAATAAAGCGGCTGTCTTTTGCTGTAGATTTTCTCTTTAGCTAATTCCCTTTATGTGACATATTTGGGGATTAATTCCCACAGTTCAGAACTGTTTCCCCCTAGTTATGAGTAAAAACAGTTTCCCACTGCCGGATCTTCATTCTTCTCTCCTAGGTAAACACAGAGATCTGCCTTCCTGCGATTATCTTCATCAGCAGACATTTGATCAGTGCTTAGGGTCCAGGCATAGGGCGTTCCATTTAAGATATTCCAAGGACATAGAATTACTACTGGCCCAAGCTGCTGCTGTGGTTTTACCCCACAACCAGAACGACTGATAACAGCATACACTGGAACTGATGATTTAGAGGTCTGGGTCTCTTCTTCACTCAGAGCAATAAGTCTAACTCCTGGCTGTAGAAATTACAGCATCTAGTGTATGTGCTATTGAATTCAGGAGTCATAACTGCCCCCTGACTGTTTTACATAGGTTGCCTGGTTACTTGGTGTCCTCTATGCATGCTGGGAGAAAGTGGCGCTCTGATTTAAATAATCCGTGCCGTGCCCTATTCATAATTTTACTGAAAATCGACCTCTTTAGCTCTTTCTAACTGCCTAAGAATGTAGCGTAGCACACTAACCTTCCCCTCTAGAATTCCATGATGATTTAATTCCTTTCTTAACTAACTTCCACCAATAAGGAGTTCACCGGATGCGCATCCATCACCCCCACCTTTGAGCTGACAGCCATGGATCTGTGTGTATGTGTGAAAACTCCTATCTGACTTTTATGGAGCAAAAGAATCCCAGCCCTGGAACCTGCTAGGGCTGGGGAATTGCTGGTTTTAAGGATATATATGACTGGGAACGTTTGTAGCAGGAAGAACAAGAACAGAGAGAAGAATAAAGACACGTGGACAGACAGAACCTGTCGTGAGTGGACTTCTCAACCCTTAGATCTTAGCCCCCCCTTTAGCTTATTGTGGTGTCTTTCACTGGACCCTGGGAGGGATCCCTAGAAGCTGGACTTTTAGGAAATCCACTACGTCCCCAATGTCCTTCCGGCCTTTTCATGGTGGTTCCCACCTCCAACATCATTGTCACCAAGGCATTCTTTTCCAGAAAGCCCACTTGGTTCCTGTGACAACTCATTTTCACTGTCAACTTGACTGGATTTGGAATCACCTTTGGGTGCATCTGTCTGTGAGGGCGTTTGTAGAAAGGTTTCACTGGGGAAGGAAGACCCACCCTGAACGTGTGTGGCACCATTGGCCATCCTGAACGTGTGTGGCACCATTGGGTCCAGACTAAATAGAAGCCACAGGGTTAGCTGAGCACCAGCATTCATGGCTCTGCCTCCTGACTGTGGATGTGACAGGATCAGTGACTTCGCAGTCCTGTTGCCATGCCCCTGCCTCAACCACTCTGCTGTGAACCCAAATAAATGCTCTTCCCTAAGTTTCTCTTTTCAATTTTTCTTCCTTTTCTTAAAGACAGTGTCTCATGTACTCTTGAACCCGGGACGTCCCGCATGCTAGGCAGGCACTCTACCAACCGAGCCACGTATCCAGCCTCTGTCACGAATTGTATCATTGCCAACAAAAAAAGTGACCAGCACAGTCCTTTAAGCAACAATAGCCATCAAAATGTATTCATTGAGCCCATTTTCTGCCAGGTTCTATTGTAGGCACTGACTTTTAATAGCAAGTGGGAGAGATGGGCCCCTCCCTGCAGAGCTCCTGGATTGGTGGAAGGACAGCCATCAGACACCAGCCAATGTCACTGGCTGACCCAGCATGCTTGCAGGGATGTTGTGGCAGACTTCCTAGAGGAGGAGACACCAAAGTTCATGTCGGGAATGAGCTTGAGCCATGTGAAGAGCTAAACAGAGGCTGGCAAGATGGTTCAGTGGATAAGAGCACCGACTGCTCCTTCAGAGGACCCGGGTTCAATTCCCAGCACCAACATGGCAGCTCACAGCTGTCGGTAACTCCAGTTCCAGAGAATCAGACATCATTATACCAATGCGCATGAAATAAAGTTAAATAAAGTTTTTTTAAAAAAAGAGCTAAGCAAAGCTTACATAACGTGGGGACAGAATATGTGACGTCAAAGTAAAGGCCTGTGGCGCCATCAGAGAACAGGCAGGTGTGGGTGGGATGGGTGGGAAGAGGATGCGGGGGTCAGGGAGATGTGGCAGGTAGGTTATGGGTACAGCGACTCTGGGACCAGAGGACTACTGGCTTTTATTTAGGAGACTTTGGCTAGGTGTAGTGGCCTATGGTGGCTTGAAAGAAAATGGCCCCCAAAGGGAGTGGCACCATTAGGAGGTGTGGCTTTGTTGGAGTGGGTGTGGCCTTATTAGAGGAAGTATGTCACTGTGCGAGTGGACTTTGAGGTCTCATATATACTCCACTCACACCCAGTGTCTCAAAGACCACTTCCTGTTGATGTAAGAACCCTCAGATCCTTCTCCAGCACCATGTCAGCCTGCGTGCTGCCTTGCTTCCCATCAGGATGGTAACGGACGAAACCTCTGAACTGGCTTGTGAGCCACCAACTCAATTAAATGTTTTCCTTTATATAAGTTGCCGTCGTCATGGTGTCTCTTCACAGCAACAGAAGACCTAAGATGTGGTCCATGCCTGTAAGGCAGGCAAGCTTGCAAGAAATGGGATGGGGCAGGAGAATCAGGAGTTCAAGGTCAACCTCAGCTTGATGAGTCTGAGGCCAGCCTGGGCTACATTAGACTGTCTCACAATCAATCAATCAATCAATCAAGCAAGCAAGCAAGCAAGCAAGCAAACTAGATAGTGGACAGCCCCGGGGGCTGCTCAATGGGTGGGTTGCACAGATGGAGGCAGAGGTGAAGGTTGGGCACTACGGAACAAAAGTGGTGGAGAGCTCACAGTTTGCTCTGGGAGCCCTAACCTCATTTTTTCTGCTCAGACAGCCATTGTTTGGACACAGAGAGGCAGAGGCAGGGAGGGAAATAAGAGAGACTCCCCAAGACGCCCTGGAGTCTTGGAAGACTAGGCACAGTGCAAGGGCTGGGGGCTCTGACAATCTCTCAGTGGATTTAGGGTGCCTCACTCACTAGCAGCTCGGAGAAGGAAGCTGCCTGCAGCCACCAGGGTGGCAGAGGAAGTGAGTACAAGCCCTGCCTTCCACCTCCGGACCGGAACCTGTCTCTTGGGAACCTGGTCACCCTCTGAGCTAGTGGGCTTCACTTCCTGGTGTGAAAAGAAGTGGCTGGTGAGTGGATCTGGCCTTTGGCCTTGGGGATTCCTGAGCTACTAGAATCTTCTACCTATTTACATGCCCGGGTACTGGAGAAAGGCTGAGATGCATCATGAATAGGAACCCAGAGCCGCATCTCAGCAGGGACCTCACAGTGAGAGGGTCTGTCAGCGGAGAATCCCAAATCCTGCCGTGTTGCTGAGGCTGTCACCTCATTTTATAGATGAGCTGTGAGCCCTGTCTACACAGATGGGCCCTACTTACCTCTCTTGAAGCAGTTTTGTGGACTAGGGTCCTTCAGAGCTCTCCACTGCATGAGGGAGAGCTGAGCTTCCCCCACCACGAAGGAACTGTCGAACGGGTCAGGGAAGGGACTCACCTGGGACTGGTCAGCAGGGGCAGTTTCAGGTCTGTGTGTACTTGGCTGGACACAGGATCCAGCCCCTTCCTGTAAAGATGTATCAGGTCAAAGAGAGAGCAGACTGGCCTGTAGTCACTCAGCCTGAGCAAGGAGGAGCTGGCTGGGGGCCAGGCTCCCCACTCCAACCCACCTCTCCACTTCTTCAGTTGGTGGGGCTTGGGACTCATTCCCAAGGGCTCTGTCCTCTTGCTTCTGGCTCCAGGGTGGGGCTCAGCTTCTCAAGGTCCCCAGACTGCAGTCAGTTTGAGGAAAGTTGCTCCCAGGCCCCATCAGTGCCTCCCTCTCCCTCCATACAACTCTGGGGCTCCTTGTTTTAGCTTTTTCTGGTTTGAGCCTAACCCTCAAACATCTGAGTGATCCTGGGAATATGGGGCAGATACAGAGACTGAATGAGGGACCAAAGAGGAGCATCAAAGGTGGCCATGCCCCAAGGGAAACTTTCAGAGAGGAAGTGGGCAGAAGAACTAGAAGTAGGGTTAGGGAACCAGAAGGGGGCCATTAGTTTCTGAGTCTGATCCTCTCTGGTGCCCATCACGAGGCTGGGGGTAGGAAGCAGGTCTAACACTGCCTATCACAAGACTGGGGGTGGGAGCATTGCTTGTCTTGGGCCTAACACTGTCCATCAAGAGGCAGGGGGTGGGAAACAGGCCTGAAACTGCCCATCACGAGGCTGGGGGTGGGGAGCATTGCTGGTTTCGAACCTGACACTGTCGTCATGAGGCTGGGAATGAAGGCATTGCTGGTCTCAGGCCTGACACCGCCTCTTGCAAGTCTGAGGGGTTGGGAAATGCTTGTTCTTCATAAGGAGCATGTGCTCTGTGCTTCATGAGCAAAAGTCCCAAGAGACCACACCCCAAGTCGGGATGCCAAGTCCACCCGAGAAAGCCTCATTCAGAACTAGAGGCCAGATGGGCCAGTCTCCCTCTGCAAGCCAAGCCAGCATAGAATGGGGAACAGGTCCGGGTGGTTTTGGCCTGCAGCCTGGTCCACCCCATTCACAGCTGAGGGAGTCTGGTCTTGGATTCAGGGGCCCTGAAGGGATGGGTAGTCACTCTACCCCACTGGCGGGTGTTCATCTTGATATAGATTGACCCAGAGTTCTCCTCCCACACTTGTCTGAGGCTCTGTGGGAGCTGGGTTTCCGTACTGTCTGACAAGAGAGGGCTGGGCCTCCTGGCCAGGAGTGGTGGGCAGGCTTCTGTGTGCCCGGCTGAAAAGGAACCCACTTCCTCACCAAGCTTTTGCCTGTGCTTTGCCCTCAGACTGTGCATTAATCACTTAGCACCCCAACAAAAGGAACTTAAGGAAGGAGGGGCTTCTTTAGCTCATAATTTGAAGATATAGATAGCCCCTCGCGACGGGAAGTCATAGTAGCGGGGGCACGAGGCAGCAGGTCAAAATGTGTCGGGAAGATGGGACAAATGATGTCCAGTTTACCTTCTTCTCTCATTCAGCCTAGAACCCGTGTGTGGGATGGCGCTCTCCTTACACTGAGGGAATCTAGGTATGCCCAGAGCCTTGCTTATCTATCAGGTGAGTCTAGATCCTGCTGCGGTGACAATCACTATTAATCTATTAATCGTCACAGCCTGGCACCATCTCCTGCAAGGCTTGGCTACAGATGTCTCGACACCAGGCCCCTCCCCTCACCCCTCCCTTCACCCTTGCTTGACTCTCTCTGTCTTGTCACACTCCCATCCTCCCAGTCTGAACAAGCGTGTGGTGATTCTGGGGACAGTGATGCACTCTGTCACCTGTCTCCTCCAGGGAAGGCGAGGGAGAAGATGGAGTCAGAGCCCCTTTACAACCTGCTGCAGCTCCCGAAGGAGGTGGATCCACCCACAGAGGAGGAGCTCCCACGAGGTGCTGGTCCTGGAGGGACAAGGGTTGTTGAGTCAGAGGAGGGAGAGAGCATGTGACCAGGTCACTAGGCCGAGCAGGCTGTACCTAGGGACTGCCCATGTGGCCATCTGTCAATCTGTCACCCACCCTCTATTCATCTGTCCCCTCCATAAACCACCATCCATCCTTTCATCCATTCACATATTGTCCCTCCCTCCTTCTCTGCATCCCTCCCTCCCTCCCTCCATCGTTCTTCCTCCCCTCCCCTCCATTACTCTTCCTCCCCTCCCCTCCATATTCACTTACTATCCACTCGTGTTATCAGTAGCTGACCCCAAGCCACGAGTGCCATGTTCTATTGGTTCTCCTGTCAGGGCTGGTGGGTACGCTCCAAGGCTTTGGGAGATCTAGCATCTAGGTGGGTCACATGGCAGGTGGGTCACATAGCAGGTTATATTTTACGAGGTTGGGCAAATCAGCCCCATGTGCTGACTCAGTTTCTTCATGTGCATCGAGGCCAGCTGGCCTATAAAGCCCCTCTGGGCCTGATGCTTTGTGGGGTCTAAGAATTTAAAATGTGGAGGAGACCTTGCTGACCAAGGCCTCATGGAAGGGAGTGACCAAGCCAAAGAGGGCACAGGGGACCTTGGGGCTACATCCTGCCCAGAGCTACTTGGCAGCATAGGTGATGCCCACCTCAGTCTGACATGTCCTTTGCCCCTTTGGACTATGCCTTCTTCCTAGGCAGGTATAGGTAGGAGATACTACACATCTACTTCATGACCTTCAGGGTAAGGGGTGACCTCTGAGTCTCAGTGTGTACTCCCAGGGCTCCTGAGAAAGTGTGAGTGAGAGGCGGGGCTAGGACTCCCCCCAGGGCCTGGGTTCAGTGGGTGACCTGCAGGGAGATATCTGCCAAGGGTCCTCAGGGTCCTCATACATGTCATACCCTCCTCTGCTTCCAGGAGGAAAGAAGAAATACCTGTCCCCCAGTTCCCGGAGGGACCCCAAGTTTGAAGAACTGCAGAAGGTACACCATCATGGTCAGCCCTGAAGTCTCTGAAGCCAGACTTGGTGGCCCTGACTTATAGACACCACACCCCTGTGCACACCACACCCTGACATTGCCTTCCTCTCTTCCAACATCACACTCCTACTTTCCTCCTGAGACATCACTCGAATCACCTCCATGTTTCTACAACCCGCTCGTGGAGGCAGTCTAGGCTTTGTAACAGAGTACCCATTGCCAGCTGTTGCCATCACCCAATTCCACAGCCATGTGCCCAGCTTTAAGGTATTTGCTACAGCGATGGCAATCCCCAGGTACTAAAACCCCACGAACCAGGATGGCAGCCCCTCAGGGTTCAGGCAGGTGTCTGGGAGATCTTGGGAGGGGCGTCTTTGGGAGCTCAGAGCAGACTCCACATGGCCAGGGAGATCAGGGAGAACCTTCTGGAATAGATATCGCTTAGCCAGGCCTTGAAGAGTTGGTAGCAGTTACCGGGTAGAAGAGCTCACTCTAGTCTGAAATGACAGCCTGGCCAGGCAACTCCCACCCTGTCAGCTGTGCCCTTGTGCCTGGCAGGTGCTGATGGAGTGGATCAATGCCACGCTCCTTCCGGAGCACATCGTGGTCCGCAGCCTGGAGGAGGACATGTTTGATGGACTCATTTTGCACCACCTGTTCCGTAAGCAGAGGCCCAGGCCCCACCTCATCCCCACCTGTGCTTCCTAAGCAGCTGCTCCTGGGGCTTTGGAGTCAAGTGTACCCCCTCGACCCCTCAAGTGGCTTCCTGCCTCAGTCCCCACCACAACTCCAGGAGAAGAAACCCTTCTATGACTTTCCAGATTGCAGAGCGGCAGAGGTGGAGACCCTGCCCACTCCCGGGCATGGCAGGACAGAGCTATGGTTCCACCCGGTATCTAATGTCTGGAATGCTGCTCTTCTGCCACACTGTGGCATATCCAGCATTTAGGAAGTGTCTGATAATTTTTTTTTTTGAGACGGGGTTTCTCTGTAGCTTTGGAGCCTGTCCTGGTACTTCCTCTGTAGACCAGGCTGGCCTAGAACTCACAGAGATCTGCCTGTCTTTGCTTCCTACGTGCTGGGGTTAAAAGTGTGTGACACCACCACCTGGCATGTCTGATAATTAAGAAGCTGGGACATCAACTGTCCCTGACCTCAGAGTACCCTGTGCTTCTGGAAGGACCCAGGCTACCCTGAGTGGGGCATTCTAGAGGCAGAGGCAGGGATGGTTCTGCCTGGTGGATCCCATTGTGCGTGGAAGTGATGTCCAAAGTCAGGCCAAGTGCCTGCCTCTGACTGGTGTCTGGTCTGCAGATGTCTTGTGCAATGAAGGGGATCTTGGAAGTAGTAGGACCCAGACCCATATTCTCAGGACCTCCTCAAGGCTCTACTCTGCAGAGCTTGGCACACGGGCCCCAGAGTGATCCTCCAGCCTCTGCTGAGGCTTCTGGGTACTTCTCAGGGGGCAGGCACTGTCAGCTTTCTGTACAGTTCACCGCTGTTCTTCTCTCTGGCTATGGGTGAGACCAAGGCTCCTAGACACAGAACGTTATGCCCAGGTCTCGATGGAGAAAACAGGGTGCTGCCCTGTGAGAATGGCATGGCCACAGCAGTACAGAGACCAAGGTATGGGCAGAATGATCAAGGCGAGGTGGGCCAGAGGGGATGGCACAAACGGTTGCAACCAGCTCACATACACGCTCCATCTCCCATGTGAATGGGGACTCCTTGGATATTGATTATGTTTGGTTGAGGGTTCTGGGGTTGCATAGGGCTCAGCATAAATTGTATATATCTCACAAATCCATATACTCCAACAGGATGGCATTGTCCTTATGGCAGAGAGTCCCCGTGACAGCTGCTCAGCGCTTCCTGGTCCTTACTGCTTTTTTGCTTTAGAGAAGCTGGCAGCCCTCAAACTGGAAGTGGAGGAAATCTCTCTGACCTCAGCCAGCCAGAGGCGCAAGTTAGGGGTCGTCTTGGAGGCCGCCAACCAGAGTCTGCAGGTTGAAGAGCAACAGGCCAAGTGGAGCGTGGAGGGTACGGGGGGGCTGAGCCTGGCTGGTACCTGGGAGGGGAGGCGGGACCATCTGCCCTGGCTTCTCACTTGATGATCAACACACTCCTCGACCCAAGAACCGTCAGGGGACGGGAAGGACACAGAGGCCTTAGGCAGTCCATAGTGTGAGCACAAGCTGGACACAAAGTCGGGTGTCTGGTGAGAGAGAAACTGACCTATACACATGACCCTGGGTGTATAGCTGCAGCCGGTACTGCCCAAGGAGAATGCCTTCCTAGCAATACAGCCACTGCTGAGTCTAAGAACACACCACTCTTCTCAGCCTGGTCCAGTGGTACTCACAGTCCAGCTACATTAATTTTCTGCCTGTTAACAAATGAGTGTGCTGTGTGTGCATGCTTCCCATGATAGTTTGGTAAACAGAGACAGAGAGAGAGAGACCGACAGAGAGAGAGAGAGAGAAAGAGAGAGACAGAGACAGGGAGAGAGATACTGACCTCGGTAGCCTGCACAGGACAGTTCTGAGGATGTCTTCAGGTTTTGATGGTCCCTCAGCTCTGACTTTGTCTTCTCCTTTTTAGCCATTTTCAACAAGGACCTGCTGGCCACCTTGCATCTCCTGGTGGCCCTGGCCAAACGCTTCCAGCCGGACCTGCCCCTTCCAGACAATGTCCAGGTGGAAGTCATCCACATTGAGGTACTTGTGAAACGGCGCAGGTCATCTGAGCATGTTGCTCCATGCCCCCACATCTACAGGGGGTCATTGCCTGGGGAGTGGCTCCAGGGGCCTCTGAGGAACATCACATCAGGACAGCAGTCAGGGGGCTGGGCTGGTGAAGACAAGGAGGGTAGGAGGAGGGCCCTGGCCAGTCAGTGCTGCTCTCAGCAGCCAGCTCTGCCTAGCAGAGGCGGGGATGGGGAGGTCAGCTGGTGGGTCACAGGTGGCCATCTCTCCACGGCCATCTTCAGTGTCATGTCTTTCATTTGTCTCCCATGGCCACATCCTGTCTCCTCTTTGGAGAAACCTTTGCTCTCTGGCAGTGCTAGATTGTGTTCCATGGTGTGTGTGTGTGTGTGTGTGTGTGTGCTTGTACAAGCGTGCATGCCTGTGTGTGTGTTTGTAAAAGCGTGTATGCATGTGTGTATGTGTGTGTGTTCCTTCTACTTGCCTTACAGAACTAGTTGTATCCAGCTGGGCCTTGTCAAACCCATCCCCACCTTTCCCAAGTCTGTGTTTAAAGTTCACTACCGAGCAGTTACGTGACTTTCTCAAACTTACCTAAGTCAGGGAAGGATGGTAAGATACTTTAGCAGGTAAAGGTGTTTGTTTATGTCTAGCCTGACAACCCAAGTCCAATCTCTGAGATCCACATATTAGAAACTTGTCTGTGACCTTCATATGTCCAACATGGCATGTGTGTACTCCCACAAACACGTGTGTATGCACACAAACACACTAAAAAAGTAGGAAAAAATCAGAGGTGACTATTTATTTGTGTGTTCATTTACACACAAAACACATTCATTTACACACACACACACACACACACACACACACACGCATACCCCTCTAGGGTGTTTTTGGAATGAGACATCCACAGTACTATCTATCCTTATGGGTTCAATAATCACAGGGAAAGTGGACAATGAAGCTGGCCCATGGTAGCATCCTGAGATGGGAGCAATGCAGAGTACACTAAGTTCTCTTACACAGCTTTGACCCTATGGGTTTGGTTCTGGGATTCTCTGAGTGACATCATTTCTTCCCCCTTTCTCTACTGTAGAGCACCAGGACCGGCCTGAAATCTGACAAGCTGGTAGAGCAGCTCACAGAACGCCGGTGAGGGTGGGCCGGGCTTTGGCTGGGTGGGAGGTTTAGGGGGTGCTGGGCAGGCAGACCCTCTTTGTACCTGCTGCTTCTCAGCCCCCAGCAGGCTGCAGAGACCCCCCAGCCCCGACATCCTCAGCCCCACAGTATCCAAGTGTCCTGAGATGTGTGCGTGCAGGACAAGGCTGCCAGCCTGTTAGCCTTGCTCTCCGCACGCAGGGTCTCTGCACCTCCCTTGCCTTGATTGCCCAGGAAAATGAGCCTATCTCCTCGCCACCTGCTGACACCAAGCTTGTTAGATTAGGTGATGAAGGGAGCTGCAGACTTTTTGCTAACTCTTTGATTGCTTTCCTGCCTCCTGCAATTTCCCCTCTAGCTCACACAAGGACCAGCCTTCACGTAAGTAACTCGGTAACTGAAGGAAAAAATTTTCCCTTCTGATGGGGTCAAAGCAACTGTGATGGAGGGGTTAACCGTTTCCTCTCTTGTCTCTTACTCTCCTGTGGCAGGATTTGTTCACGAATTTGTCCTTCCTTCTGTCTTCCTGGCCTTTAGCTAGTTTTCTTAGTACTGTTCTCATGGGGAGAGACCCACAGTCCACACCATGAGGGCAAGGGGGGTGCTGATGCTGAATGCCGCTAACTCTGTCACTCATTAACACATAGTCTGTGCCTCAGTTCCCTCATCTGGAACACCTCTTTAGCTGGTGGGTGTGCTTAGCATGGGGCATTCTCAATGGTGTGTGTGCAAACATGGCTGTTGCCAATGTAACAAGCAGTTCACTAGTCAGTACACTGACCTCCTATTGCTTCTTTCACTTATCTCTTCCGTAGCTGGACGAGCCAACCATTCACCAATCTATTCCTTCTTCCAGTTGTCCATCTATCTACCCACCCACTCATCTTTCTATCATCCATTCATCCATCCATCTATTGAGCATCCATTGTTCATCCATCCATTTATACACCTATACAATCATCCATCCATTCATCTATATACCCATCCATTTATATGTTCATCCATCCATCCATTGAGCATCCATTGTCCATTCATCCATTTATACACCTATACAATCATCCATCCATTCATCTATATACCCATCCATTTATATGTTCATCCATCCATTCATCCATCCCCCATTGTCCATCCATCCATTGAGCATCTACTTAACCATCTATCTATCTAGTCATTCATTCATTCATCTATCTATATATACATACATCTGGCTATTTATCTACCCAACCATTTACCAATCCATTCTTTCATAAATACACATATATCGACCCATCACACACACAAACATCCCTCATTCATTTATATATATATTCATCTGTCGTATATATATATATATACATATCCATTATTCATATACATATCTATCTGTCATTCATACACATGCACACACACATCCATTTATCCATTCATCCATCTCTACAAAGCCAGTCAGATATATATCTACCCAATCATCCCCCACCTATCACCCACTTATCCCCCCTGAAGTTACCAAGGGATGCATGCCCATCCCCCATTTTGATCTCTAAAATGCCTAGCTGGCATCATTCACTGGGTGTTTGAGATGAGGAAATCAAGGTACAGAGAGGGAAACCCCCTGTTTTCCCCTCAGCCAGGGAGCCATATGTCCCAGACTCGGGCCTGTTTCATTCAGGAACCTGATGATCAAGCTGTGGTTCCTGTGGGACTGTTTTTTTTTTTTTTCTGAGAAACTTTTGCATGAAAACGCTCTGTTTGGCGCAAAGATAACAGCATTGTAATGAACTGTTTATCGCTCTGGTCTGCAGAGGACGCCTTTGATGAATTATTTAAATTGGCTCCGGAGAAAGTGCACGCTGTCAAAGAGGTAGGGGAGATCAAGGCTTCCCATGCCCACCACCGACCTGCCTGTGTCTCGGGGTGATGGGGAGGATGCTGGTCTCACTCCACTTTAGTTGGGTGCTGGGTGATAGAAGGGAAGGTTTTCTGTCACCCCAGGTTGGAAGGTGGCATGAGGGTCCCTGAGCAGTCTTGAGGTCCTTGCTTCTCTATCTTAGGCCATCGTGAGCTTTGTCAACCAGAAGTTGGAGCGTCTGGGCCTGTCTGTGCAGAGTCTGGACACCCAGGTAGGGACACTTCTGGGTCCCCATGCAGGGACGAGGGCTCCTGGGCCCCAGAAACTTACTGTGTGACTAGAAGCAAGGTATCACCTTCAGAGATGTCAGGGCCCTCTCTAATAGGATGGGCTGCGGACAGGCAGTATTGCCATAGGGAGCCAGCTCCTGGGCCCCTGGGCAGGGGACCTGTGGGAAGCTGTGAAGGCTGAGCCATCTCTACTGCTGCCTTTGTTCTTACTCATGTATCAGAATGACTCTTAGGGCATGGGATACTCTAGGGCGTGCTGAAGCCAGAGTGAGGGTCCTCCCCTGTGATCATGTTTATTCGGATGTAGCACCGAGATTCATGATGGGTCCTTTTTTGAGTGGTTGGAGAAACAGACTCAGCACCATCCTCAGCGGGCTCCGTCCTGAGTTCCGAGGGCTTAGCCCACCATAAGGACACAAACTCAATCACCCTAAGGTGGGAGCAGAAGCCTGCAGATCCAAAGTGCCTCACCTAGCCATGCCTTCCACCGAGATTCTGTCTCTCTAGTGTTCCTACAACACAAGGAGAAAGGAATGCAGAGATCAGACACTGCCTGGGCCCTACCGGGTGGTGATGGAGTCTGGTGAACACTGGGCAGACTCCCACAGACTGTGGATATCAGTCATGTCTCAAGACCTATGCAACACTGGGTCACAGCTGCTGTCTTCTCAGGGACAAGTGGGTGGCTGTTCTCTAGGGAGGGCCAGGCCACATATTCCTGAGTTTGGGGCCAAACAGGAAAGTTCTTGGTACCTGTTTTGCCTGGAACAAAGTTCTCTCAGCCATCATCTCTGCAATACCTCTCACCCTATGTGAGAACTGATGAAACCCCATTCAATAGATGAGACTTTTAAGACACAGAGAGGTTAGGTAACTTATCTAAGGTCACACAGTGATTAAGGCGTGGTCCTAGGTTTTGGACCAAGGCAGTCAGTGTTCAAGTATATGCTCATAGCCACTGAGCATGGTGGGTGGTCATGTGAGCTTTGTGAGCGCTGTGGCGACATAGTGAGGTGGAAACACAGACTTAAGGGCCATATGCTTGTGTGTTTCCTTCCCATGCTTGCCAATTTGTGCCCCTGGACCCTGACAACATTTCCATATGGCTGTCCTGTATGACCTTGGGTGAATTATGGACTTCTCTGAACCTTTGGCTCCTTGCTTTATAAAAGGGGAACAATTCCACCTCTTGGAATTGTGAGTCAGGGAGCATTGCTATTTAGTGTCATTTCGTATTTGTCTCTTGACTCATTGTTGCTTCCCTTCCCCCACCAAGCAACACACTCATCTCTGACTGCATTTTCTCTGGGAGACACAGGACAGGATCCCTGGTTTACTTGCTTTCCTCATGCTTCCCTCCTTCGGTCAGACAAGAGTGGGTGAGCAAAGGTGACATTTAGACGTGCCGGGATGGTAGAGATAGACTCAGAGTTAGGTTTTCCCAGCTACATTTTGAGGACAGCAGTAGTGAAGCTTCCACGCCCAAACTAATAGCATCCGAACAGACTTAATGGGGGGAAATTCCATTAAAGTCAGAGCGGCATCTCTCTGCAGCATCCCATCTTGTGCTTTGTATCTTTGAGGAGATTCAGAAGGATTACATTAGCATATGGCACGCTCACGGCGGCGTTATCTCAGCGCATGCAGACAGAACAGACAGAAATATTAATGGGCCTGTGTGCCCCTCTCTGCCTATCCTGACGGGGGGATTTTATACAAACTCAGTTTTGCACACAGCTCTCTGTAGCTCGTGGAATAACTTGTCATCTCAAAGTGGACGTGATGGGGGTGGTTCAGCTGGCGAAGCGCTTCCCTGGCAGGTCAGAATCCTGGGGTGTGGTGGCACACGTGTCTGTTTTTATAGGTGTGAGCGCTTGCCGGCAGCTGTGTGTGTAACACATGTGTGTTTGATTACCGCAGAGGCCAGAAGAAGGTGTTGGGTGCCCTGGGGCTGGAGTTACAGATGGTTGTGAGCTGCTGTGTGGGTGCTGGGAGCCAAAGCCTGGTTCTGTGTAAGAGCAGAGAGTGGTCTTGACTGCTGAGCCGTGTCTCCAGGCCCTGGCACACAGAGTTAAACCCAGTACTGGGGAAGCAGTGACAGGTGGATCCCTGGGGCTCGCTGGCCAACTATCCTACTTATTTGGTGAATTCCAGGCCAGTGAGAGATTGTCTCCTCCCTCTCCCAAATAAATAGGCTGTTCCTAAGAAATAATAAATGTCCTAGGTTGTCCTTTGGCATCTAGATGCACATACATATATGTGCATGGGTATTCACACATACACACATCCATGTACACACATGAACACACACACATACAGAGAGAGAGAGAGAGAGAGAGAGAGAGAGAGAGAGAGAGAGAGAGAACATGAGACTATTCCATAGTAAGTTTAGAAACAGCTCTTTTAATTGAATGCATTCTAAGAGCCAGAAAGCTCCAAACCACTTCATGCTGCTATTGACAACCCCATGCAGCTGGGAATGGCATCCCCACTTCTCAGAAGAGATGTGAGGCTCAGAGAGGTGGTACAACTTCTTTCAGCTCACACAGCACGTAAACGGCAGCATGGAACTCTGCGGGGTCAGCCTCTCCCGCACAGGAGCCCTGGTTCCTTTCTTTAGCGTGTTAGTTCCTTTTATGTCACTGTGACAAGCGCCTGGGACAAAGAGAGGAAGGGTTCATTTTGCTCACAGATTCGGGCTTGGTCTCTTTGCTTGGCCCCACATGCTGGGGCAGAATATGATGGGGACAGGAGTATCTGGTAGATCTGTATACATCATGGTGAACAGGAAGCCGAGAGTCTGGTAGGAAGGAGCCAGGGACCCACCCCCCAGTAATCGACTCCCTATAGCTAGGCCCCACCCGACAGAGTATCCAGCTGGGAACCAGGTGTTCATAGCATGCCATGGGGAGGGTTAGGACTGACTTGCAACACCCATAGTTTGCAGACGGCGTCATCCTCCTGCTGCTGATCGGACAGCTGGAAGGCTTCTTCTTACATCTGAAAGAATTCTATCTCACTCCCAGCTCTCCCACGGAAATGGTAAGTCGCCAAGGTCTCCCTCCATGACTTTTTTGGGGTGGTGGTGGTGGACAGATTTATGGCATTGGCCTGACAGTCTTTATTCAATTGCAAGCCGTGAGGAAGATGGAAGAGAAGTTTGTTCGTACGCCCGTTTACCCATCTCTCTTCTCACCCATTCACCCACCCATTCACCCACCCATTCAGGTGTCCACCCACCCACTCACCCATTGACACCATTCACCCACCTATCCGTCCACCAATTAATGTACCCATCCATGAATCCAACACCTATGTACCTATTTATCCGCCCATTCATCCATCCATCTACTCATCCACTCACTTATCAATTGACACCATCCACCTACCTATCTACCCATCTCCTCATCCAATGCCTGTGTACTTACTTATCCCTTCACCCTGGTACCCTTCTTTGGAGCAGGGTGAGCCAACGGGAGGCTCACAGTGTGGGACAAACCTGCATCCATCACATGAGACTTCAGGAATGAATCATGAGAAGAGTCTTTGGAGGGAGGTAGAACCCAGGCTCAGCAATGTGGACCAATGTCCATGTCATTCAGCAACCAGGCTTCTTGGGACCCAAGGCCTGTGCTTGCAACTTTACAGGCTCCAAACCAGCCCAGGAGAGTAGGCAGAGGTCTAGCATTCATGATCCCACCATTAGATCCTATTTAAGGGAATAGATGCAGAAATAGGGCATTAGCTCAGAGCTCAAAAGGGGAGTTTGGAGTTTGTAGAGGAGACTGGGCACAGGAACATGGCTGATGATGCTCACAGGTTCTTAGCTGGAAGCTGGAACCCCAGGTGATTCTCTTATGGAGCGACCTCCCAGTGCTGCAGTTTCATTCTCAGGGGGTCATGATTGCATCATGGATGCACGGGCACCACCGCTCATTGAGAGAGAGAGAGAGAGAGTGGGAGAGAGAGAGAGAGAGAGAGAGAGAGAGAGAGAGAGAGAGAGGAGAGGAGAGGTGATCATTTGCTTTGCAGAAATCAAAGCACCAGAACAAGGAAGCTCTGACTTCCTCCCACGTTCAATTATCTCTCAGGAAGATGGGGACGCATCTCCTGGGTCCTGGCCTTTCTTGGCTCTGTAGAGCACGGAGCTTTCTCTTCATCATCTCAAACGGCTCAGAAGCAAAGGACAGGCTAGGGAGAGTTAAGCATGCCTCTCGGGAGCCTGACCAGATCGTTGGTTCATGTGCTTCATGGAGGAAGGATGCTAAGGGAAGGCTGATGTTCTCTGAGTCGCTCATGCATGCCCTCCAGCATGGACTCCCTGAGAGCAGGTGCCATCCCCATTCTGGGTCTTGTGCATGGCAGGCTCACAGTTGACTGGGCAACAAATCTTTTTAAAAATATGAGTGATGGACCGACCAGATGACTCAGTGGCTAAGTGTGCTTACTGCCAAGCCTGATGACCCGTGTTTGATCCCCAGAACCCACGTGGTGGAAGGAGAGAACTTGACTCCTGCAAGCTGTCCTCTGATCCCCACGCGTATGCTGCGGCACACGCTCCCCTCCATCAGCTGATAAATGTAAAAATAAAATAAAGGCAGTTACAGGCCAGGGCAGCCACACAGGCATCCGATATTCCTGGCACGGTCAGCTCTCAACCCCAGGACACCAGAACCTGCTTTGAAACTCGAGTTGGAATAAGCGAGGGAAACAGGGCAGCTGCTTAGCTCAAAGCCCAAGAGAGGAGGGGCCAGTGGAAGAAACTGGAGTGGAGGAGTCCTCATGGTTGGTGCATGCTTGCAACTCCAGCTGTTGGAGGGGCTGGGGCAAAAGGATCACAAGATTGAGACCAGCCTGGGCTACAGAGTGAGATCAAAGCCATCCTGGACAGTTTAGTGAGACCCTGCCTCAAAATAAGAAGTAGATCTAGGCCTGGAGATATGACTCAGTGGTAGAGTTTGCGTGGGAGGCCCTGAAGCCAATCCCAAGAAGTGTATGAACAAAGCAGTCCCTAAAACTGGCCACATGAGGTGCTGTGGCAAATGGAGTCTGCGGTCAGTTAACTCAGGGAAAATATAAATACCCTGGAAGCTTGACCTACACTGCTGTGCTTAAGGCTCCTAGAGGTCCTACAGTGCAGGACGCCGTAGTTTCCAAAACCATCTGGCCGCAGTCACCTCTTCCTTGACATCCCGATCCTTTCTAGGGAGAGGCTGCCTTGTCAAGAGCATTCAAGCTGGGACTTGGAGATGCAGAGATGCAGAGCAGGGAGTTGGAATTCCTCTTTCTGATATTTCCTTCCTGGGTTGCCGACAAGCAGCACTTTCGATAAGAATGTGTCAGCAACGGGGAGTCCCCCTTCCCAGAATGTTCTGTGGGGAGGGACTTGGGAACACAGGGGCAGGCCTGAGCCATGGGCTCTGGTCTGCATTTACTCAGATTGCTTAATCTTGGTCTGTACCATTCTGAGGGTCGCTAGCCCTGTACAGTGACCCATCGTCCCAGTGTTTTGATTTTGCATGGCCCTACTCCTCCAATGGCCTGCCAAGCAAACAATATTGCTTACCACCTTCTAAGGGGGCTCTACCACCTACATGCCCTGGCTTCCATCTGAGACAAAATCCCCTCGCTTGACAGACTCCCATGCAGAGTGTCACCTCCACCAGAACACCCCACTCCCGTCCCATGGATTCTCCTCAGTGAAGGTCTTTCCCGCTAGCAATGTCTGCTTGATCACGCAAGTTCAGCGCGTGGCATCTGCTGAGGGCTGTGTGCTGATGAGGGCCTCTGTGTGAAGGAGTGGGCATGGAAGGAGATGCTGGGTGTCCCCTGACTGCTATTGTGGTCCAGGGATTCAAACCTTGGATGGGCAATGACAGATGCCATTGGAGACAGCATGGGTTTGGTACCCGGACCTAGGGCCTCGTTGGCTGACATCGATCGCCTTTATCATTGTAGCTGCACAATGTCACTCTAGCCCTGGAGCTGCTGAAGGATGAAGGTCTGCTTAGCTACCCTGTCAACCCTGAAGGTGAGCATGGCTGCCCACTGCCTGGATGACCTGCCTTGAATGTGACTGGGAGCAGCTGTGACAGCGGAGGGGCAAGCATTGCACCTGGGGTCCCCCTGCTTGCTGGTCCATAAAGAGATACTGACTGTGGGGTTTCCTAGGAGGGGTGCTGTGGCCCCCGTGTCTGTAGGCAGGACTGAAGACCCTGGGGATGAGTGTCCAGAGCAGTCAGACTTCCAGTCATCGCTGGGGAGGGAACACGGATGCAGGGAAAGCTCACACAAGAAAAGGGACCCTCCTCCATCCTCGGGGACAAATGGTCCTCCCTGTCCTGGCCTGACAGGCTGCCTTGTTTCCTCTGCCCACAGATATTGTGAACAAGGATGCCAAGAGCACACTGAGGATACTCTACAGTCTATTCCAGAAGCATGCACTGAGGGCAGAGGGCAACAGGGCGCCCTATGGTACCCCAAACTAGTCATCTCTGCCTCCCTGAGCCATGTCTCAGGACCTGCTGCTCCTGGAGGACCCAGCAGTCCCAGATCCTCCCATCCCAGCCTTGGTACTGTGGGTTGGTGATGCGCTTTCCTCCCACACCTGTCCTGCTTACATGTATACGTGGGCTGATACCTTTGACCCCACCGGATGGGGATCTGTTCTGAGTCCACCTCTGCTTTGCTCAGTGTATTTTGATGTCTGTATGAATAGAATTTCTGTTGAGGATGGCACTCTGGGTGCCTTTGGGGTTCTGGGTGAGCCTTTAACTGTGGTGGAAAGACTTTGGTTCCCAGGCTAGACCAGCCCACAACAACTCCCAGTTTGTCTGCTATGGCTATACCTGGACAGTTAGTGGCTGCCCAGTCTCCCACAAAGCTGACTTTCCCCAGCCAGAGGCTCAGTGCACTCTGTCCCTGGTTGTCTACCTCCCACTTGGCCCAGGGTCATCACCCAAAGACCGGAGCCCTATGAGGGAGAAGGGAATTCAGTTGCTGTCCTGATCTCTGCCCCGAGCCCCAGGGAAGAGAGCCTATAGTTGGTACCTCAGTTCAGGCTCTCTCTGGTCGTCTTTGGGGAGCCATGGGCATTCTGTCCTATGAGACTTCGTGTGTCCTGCAGAGAGAAACAGCTTCAGGAACTGAGCTGGATCCATTTGGGCTGGATGAGAAGCTACTGGGGGGAGATGCAGTGCATGCAGTGCAGGATTGCAAACATATAGGGGTGCAGGGATGTGGGGAGGCCAGCCCAGTTGTCACCCCTTCGGACTTCCCCTGCCTGCCCCGCTCCAGGTCTTCTAGGTTTGGGGCGGTATAGTGGAACAGCTTTACTTTGGGGGACTTTGAAGCAGAGTCTGCACAGGACAGGACACCCTCACAGGACAGTGGGTGGAGCTAGGAGTGACCTGCGGCACTGATTTCTGGTGTGAGCGGTCTAGAGGCTCTTCCCTCCACCCAGCCCTGTCCCCTTGCCTGCTCTAACAGTGAGGGTGCCATCAGATGTCTCCTCTGTCTCACTGTCTCTGTGACGTGATCCTCTCCCATGGCAGGGGCATCATCACAGTAGCCAGTGCCTAGGTGTCTCTACCTCAGGTAACCCCTCCACGAAGACCTTCCTCTATGCCCCATTTGTTCTCTCTGGAGCATCCTGAGCCATGGTGGCCAGAGTCCACCCTCACCTCCTGGGCTCTTGATTCACTTTCTCCTTCTTCATGGTCTGCTTGCCCACCTGGCCCCTCCATGTCCTCACTTCCACATCCCCATGTCCTGTCTAATAGCAAATTTAAATCATAATGATAGGGCTGGAGAGATGGCTCAGAGGTTAAGAGCACTGGATATTCTTCCAGAGGTCCTGAGTTCAATTCCCAGCAACCATATGGTGGCTCACAACCATCTGTAATGAGATCTGGTGCCCTCTTCTGACCTGCAGGCATACATGCAGACAGAACACTGTATACATAATAAATAAATAAAGATTTAAAAAAATAAAAAAAATCATAATGATAATAATCCCCTTCACTTCCCCAGGACTGAAATGATTGATTCATACAGTAATTGTCTGTTTTATTCTGTAAGATACTGTGAAACGGTTTTTAAGAATAAATATACTGTTTTTATTCCCACCTGCAATGCCCAAGAGTTCTAGTTACTCTGCATCTTGCCAGCTCTTGGCATTGTCTGTCTTTTCGGTGTTAGCCATTCTGGAGGGTGTGTGGTGGTATCTCACCGTGTGATTTAACATGCCCTTCCTCTAATGACTGCCGGTTTTGAGAGTCTGTATTAGTCAGCTCTGGACGCTGTAACAAAACACCACAGCCCAGGCAGTTTAATAACTGACAGTCTGTTGAACAGTTATGGTGGCTGGGACTTGTAAGCCAGAAGAGCTAGCAGATCTGGTGACCCATGAGAACCCTCCTCTTGGCCCAGAAATGTTATTCTTTCTGTGTCTCCTTCATGAGGGCGAGCGGTGGTGGGGTGGGGGCGGGGAGAGGGCGGTGCTGCCAGAGAGGAGAGAGAGAAAGAGAGGCTTCACCTTCTTCTGGGAACCCCACCTTCATCTGAATCTTATCACCGGAAAGCTCAACCCCACATAGTGTCCCTCCACATGGTGTCCCGGGGGCAGGAGGAGGTCAAAACAGGACTGAGGCGGGGCGACGTCTTCTCCTGTGTTTTCCACCCCTCTCTTCCTGGGCAAAGAGTTGGTTTCAATCATTAGCCTTAAAAATAGTCGCAGGTTGGCTCCCCTGGAGCTGGAGCTACAGGCCTGGAGCTACAGGCCTTATGTGAGTGCCGGGAAGGGAGTCTGGGTCCACTGGAAGGACAGTAAGGGCTCTTGCTGCAGAGCCTTCTTTCTGGCCCCATTTGCCTTTTTTTTTTTTTAAGTGTAGAAAAATTATTGTAATTTAAGCTTTGTATGTTGCGTTGGATGAATTTTGAGTTAATTTTTACATAGAGGGCAAGGGTTGAATTGTAATTTTTCCCGCTGGGCGCCTCATTATTCCAGAGCAATCTGTTGGAAAGACTTTCCTTCGCCCACCAAATCTCTGCGGTGCCTCGGCGGAAAATTGGTTTGCCGCATGACTTCCGGGCGGCGCTCATTTGTGCGCAATGTGCACCCCGGTGGCAGCGCCGAGGTCTTCTCTGCTGGGGAGTCGGTGAAAAACCAAGCAGTGGGGCTCCAGCTTTGTTCTCTCTTTGCAAAGTGACGCTGGCTCCTCGGAGTCCCTTTTAATTCATTGAATCTCGACGTAAAATTAGGATCAATTTGTCATTTTCTAATTTTAAAAAAAGCCTCTGAGGTTTTGATTGGAGCTCTGCTGACCCTTCAGTCGGAGGGGCTGGGGGGTCAGCTGACGGCCTAGAACTCTGGGAAGTTGGGTCACTGACTTGCGCACCTCCTCTTTCCTCCCTCCTTTCACCCTCCTTTCCTTCTTCATCTCTTTCCCCTCCTCTTCTTTCTCCACCCTCCTCCCTTTTTCTATTGTAATTTTAAAATAATTGTATCAATTCTTTGAGACTTTCATACAATGTATTTTGATCTCATTCACCCCAACTCTCCTCTATCTCCTCCCAGGCCCATTCCTACCTACATAGTCCCCAACTTCATGTCCTTTTTTTTTTTTTTTTTAAACCCGCTGTGCAGTCCACAGACTCCTGCTGTGTGGCCATCCATTGGAGCAGGTCCAGCAACCAGAGCCACACCCTTAAAGAAAACTGCCTCTCCCTTCCCAAAAACCATCAACTTGTCCATAGCTCCTTAGTAAGGAGAGGGGGCGGGGTTTGTTGTTTGTTTATTTGTTTTGATATAAGATCTTGTATTAGTCGGGGTTCTCTAGAGGAACAGAATTTATGAACTAAATCTTTCTTTATATAGAAAGAGAGATTATTAGAGATTATTAATAATTAGAGATTATTAGAGCTTACAGGCTGTGGTCCAACCAGTCTAACAGTGACTGCCTACAAAGGGAAAGTCCAGGAATCCAGTACCTGTTCAGTCTATGAGGCAGGATGTCTCAGATGGCCTTCAGTGTGTGCTGGAATCCTGAAGAAGTAGGCTTTAATGCCAGTGAAGGAATGGACCTACCAGTGAGAGCGAGAGCAAGTAGGCAAAGAGCGAACACTTTTTTCCTCTATATTCTGTTTATAGGCTGCCTCTAGGAGGTGTGGCCCAGATTAAAGGTAGATTTTCAACCTCAAAAGATCTGGATTAAAGATGTATCTTTTTACCTCAAAGATTCAGATTAGAAGTGAGTTTTCCCGCTTCAAATGAGCTAATTAAGAAAAACTCCTTCAGGCTGGAGAGATGGCTCTATGGTTTAGAAATATTGGTTGCTCTTCCAGAGGACCCAGGTTTAATTCCCAACACCCACTTGGCAGTTCACACCTGCCTATAACTTCAATTCCAGAGGATCTGACAGCCTCACACAGACCTACATGCAGGCAACATGCAAATGCACACAACATAAAAATAAGTAAATCATTAGTATTAAAATGATATAAAAATAGAGAATGATCTTTAAAAAAAGAAGAAGAAAAAAAAGTGAGGTGATGGTGGGATATGCCTTTAATCCCAGAACTTTGGAGGCAGAGGCAAGTGGATTTCTGAGTTTGAGGCCAGCCTGGTCTACAGAGCAAATTCTAGGATAGCTAGGGCTATACAGAGAAACCCTGTCTCAAAATACACCATCCCCCGACCAAAAAAAAAAAAAAAAAAAGAAAAGAAAAAAAAGAAAGAAAGAAAGAAAGAAAGAAAAGAAAAACTCCCTTCCTCACAGGTGTGCCTAGCCATTTAGGTTTTATTTAATTCTAGATATAGTCAAGTTGTCAAAACCAAGAATAGCCATCATAGACCCCATGTAGCCCAGACTGGCCTCTGGTATCATCATGGAGCCCAGGATGACCTTGCCTTGCTGATCCTCCCAACTCCACCTCTGAGTGCTGGAAGTACAGGTGTGAGCCATCATGCCTGAATCTAAAATCCTGTTTTCTGATTATGGTGTCTAGTCTATTTTTATTTGTAAAAGATGTCGTCGGTCTCTCTTTGTACCGCCAGCTCTGAAATAATGACATGGAGACTTCTTATTAAGTATGAAAGCTTGGCCTTAGCTCAGGCAGGTCAAACGAGCTCTTAAAAGTTAAATTGAGGGGCTGGAGAGATGGCTCAGTGGTTAAGAGCAATGCCTGCTCTTTCAAAGGTCCTCAGTTCAATTCCCAGCAACCACATGGTGGCTCACAGCCATCTGTAATGAGGCATACACACAGACAGAATATTGTATACATAATAAATAAACAAATGAATTAAAAAAGTTAAATTGACCCATTTATATTCATATACATCCTGCCATGTGTCTCATTACCTCTTCTCAGTACATGTATTCCACTTTCTCCATGTCTGGCTAGTGAATCCCACCTCTCTTCTTCCCAGAGTTCTCTTTCTTCTGGGAAGCCCCGCCTATCCTCTCCTGCCAAACAACTGGACATTCAGCTCCCTATTAAACCAATCAGAAGGTTGATATAGACAAGCTTCACAGTGTCCAAAAAGATAATCCCACAACATATCCTCTTTCTTATTTAAAATAAAAAGGAAACGTTTTTTTAACTCAAACACAGTAAAACTATACACAATAAGAACAATTATCAGTAAGAAGTACAATCATGATGTCTAGTTCATTTGTGTTTGGCAAATTCAGAGAAAATACTCTATTATCTATCTATTGTAGTGAGTTCATAGTTTT